ATGGTTATAAAAACTGAAACAGAAGTGAAACAAGTAGTAGGAAATATAATAATAATAATTTAAATATATAGTTTAAATTATATATAAATTATATAGTAATTTACAGTGTTGGGGGAAGTTACTTTTAAAAGTAATGCATTACAATATTGAGTTACTCCATAAAAAAGAAACTAATTATATTGGGGGAAAAAAGTAACTTTGCGTTACTTATTTGAAAAAGTAACTCAGATATTCTCTTGTAAATTAAAAAGTAATGCGTTACTTTACTAGTTACTTGAAACAAGTAATCTGATTACGTAACTCGCGTTACTTGTAATGCGTTACCCCCAACACTGGTAATTTACTCATAGTTGATACCAATAAATACATTGTTTTCATCATTTTCTTAATCATGGGATATAAGGTTAACCAGGCCGCTGTGCGCGTCTCATCCAGTCCAGTAGGTGGCAGTGACTGATGTTTTGGTCCTTTATCACCGCAATAGCTTTTGCGCGAGTAAGACAGATGCCGAGTAGAACGACGAGATGCTGCGTTTTAGAACAATCAGTTTCTTATTAAACATGCGAATATTTTACTCTTAATCATTTACCACGCTTAATATACAGGTAGATTAAGTACACGTGTGTACCTGAAACTGCTGTTGTTTGCGTTTGTCATTGAGGTGGTTAGTTACGTGTAACATTTTATTCAACATAAAGTGCTGTGTCTTTTTCTATCGTAAAACTTCACATCGTCTTGTCGTTGTTTTAGTTTTAATCGGAAAGATCGGGAGCACAGACAGTCATGTCAGTGACAGGTGATTTGGACTCGCTGGAATCCAGTCCTGCTTCTCCTCATCAGTCCAGTGGTCTGAGTGAAAGGACCCTGACATCAGAAGAGCTGGAGAAACTCAGGAATGACCGCGTCTTAGTCTCGGACTTTAAGCAGCAGAAACTCGAAATGGATGCTCAGAAAAACTGGGACTTGTTTTATAAAAGAAACACGACGAACTTTTTCAAAGACAGGCACTGGACTACCAGAGAGTTTGAAGAACTGAAAAACTGCAGAGAGGTCAGAGAGATATGCATGCATTTGCTATAACATCTTTGAGTTTGTGTAGATGCTTGTAACTTGCATCTACTCTCTCAGTCTCAGGGGCAGAAGCTGGTGTTATTGGAGGCTGGCTGTGGGGTTGGAAACTGTATTTTCCCTCTTCTGGAAGAGGATCTCAGTATCTTCATTTATGCTTGTGACTTCTCTCCACGAGCTGTTGAGTTTGTGAAGGTAAAAGTAACCAAGTTGTGTTTTTTCTCTCCCACATCTGGTCAACCTTTTTCCAATTTTATAACGTTGCACATTTATAAGCTAATTGTTTACATGCATTCTGCCTTTATTTATGATTATTCATTATGATTGCAGCAAAATGCCTTGTATTGCACCAAGCGATGCCTTGCGTTTCAGTGTGACCTCACTAAAGATGATCTCCAGGCCACCATACAAGTGGAGACAGTGGATGTAGCCACATTGATATTTGTTCTGTCTGCAATTCATCCTGACAAGATGCAGAAAGCCCTGGAACAGATTTATAAGGTACTGCTGATCACATGTTGCAAGACTGAAACTATCACAGTGCATAAACATTTTGCTAAACACGTGTAAACGTAAAACTGAAAATGATTTTTTCATGTGTTTTTGCATAATGCACTTTCTTTGTGTTATGAATTAATGTATTTCTTTTCAAAACAAACTGATAGGTATTAAGACCAGGAGGTATTGTTCTCTTCAGGGACTATGGACTTTATGATCATGCCATGTTGAGGTTTAAGTCGGGCAATAAGCTGGGCGAGAGTTTCTACGTAAGACAGGATGGGACCCGCTCCTTTTTCTTCTCAAGAGGTCAGTGTATCATTTGTTTCTTCTTAATCATCTGTTTTACTGCATTGAAGTTAGTGTTTTGTTTCTAATGTTTTTGTTTTCCATCTGTCCTTCTCATAGAGTACTTGGCTGGATTGTTCCAACAGGCAGGATTTGAGACTCTAGTGAACGAGTATGTGTTGAGAGAAACTGTGAATAAAAAAGAGGGCCTGTGTGTTCCCCGAGTGTTCCTGCAGAGTAAATTTCTCAAATCTGTTCCATCATTATCACCAGCATAAATGTCACATTTTTGTAAATGTATTTTTCAAAGTGTCATGCATTCATTTATCAATTTATCAATTACATGTTGTTTTTGTACTATCTCATAATGAAATCAAATCTGTATATTTTTCAATTGTTGGTGGATTTCTTTATTTCAGGTTTGAGAATAACATGGTGTGCTGGACACTTTCTAATATTTATTGTAGGGTGCAAAGTTGTTCGTAATTATACCCTAAATATGTATATTTATATGTAAAACTGTATTTTTTATTGATATTTACATATTTCATCATATATATGAACCACTCTAGTGTGCGGCCCGGGTTCGATTCCCGGTCAGGGAATGAACCGTTTTCCACTTGCGAATACTTTCCATTTGTGAGGTCAAGACTAGGAGTGACAAATAAAACGATACGAATGCTTTATCAGTTTAATAATCCAGACAAAAGGTTATGAATTTATATTGTAAGATCACAGTTAAATTAAATTTCACCGTATTTATTTTATAAATGCATGGTATTCATCTTTCTGTAAACGACTCCTGTTTAATTTCTTAAATTGTCAGCTCGATCTTCCGGTGAAACGACAGACCTCTGCTAAAGTGTGGTCGGATTTCAATCATTTCGTCTACTTAAACCTAGTCCTCTCTTACAACCGAGTGCAGTGCCAGCTCAAATTCAAGTCTGCTTGTCTGTCAAATCAGCAAACGATGGATAGAATATTTTTTCTCTCTTGATCGTCGCGACTTTTAAGTGTGTGTGTGTGTGTGTGTATGAGGGGCCGTATAGGCCATAATTATTGAAAAGCCTCTTACAAACACTAGTGAAACGAAAAACATTGATCAACCTTAGTGAAATTAATTCATATGCATTACTGAAATACCTCTTACAAACACTAGTGAAAACATTGATCAACCTTAGTGAAATTCATTCATATGCATTACTGAAAA